GCCTGTGTGTTCTGCTGCTGTCACCTTATGCTCCTTTCATGTTGTCCCTAAAGGACCAGAAGGCCCTTTTAAGCCAAGACACACCTCTTCTCCATCAGCCCAGACACACTAGAGCTTCTGAAACCTTTAAAGGTTCCATTTCACAATTTCTGATACAATTCCTTTCTCTAAACTTGGGAGAACTCCAACCCAGTACCTGGAATGCCCTAGGTCCCAGGCAATAGTTTCCCTCCTTAGCGAGATATAGTAGCCCCTGGCCACACACCCAGAAGGTGGCAACTCTTCTGAGGGCAGTGACATCATCCATGTTCCCCAAACTACCATCCCACCTGGGTCCCTGTCAAGAGCCTCTTCTAAATGCAACTTCTCAAATCAAGTCCCAGAACCTGTTGAAACACATACAAGCACAGATTCAACAAAGCAGAATCTCAAAAGGGTGGAGCTGACACACAGGTGAGTCAAACCGTGTCCAGGCAGTTCTCAACTGGCCCACAGGAGGCAAGTCCTCAGCCATCCAACAGGGAGGCCTGGCCCGGCTTCCATCCCACCCGATTTCTCATGCCAGATGGAAGGGTGGGTCCCTGTAGGGCCACGGCAGCCAATACACTCAGTCAGAGATAAGATCTTGGAGATCGGAGGAGACAGGCTGACAGAAGACACTGTGTGCCCAGCTGTCCACAGCAGCTTTGCCAGCCAGCACATGATCAGCCTGAACATCTAGGGGCTACTCACACACACGTCCTCCCAGGAGGCCCAGGTTAACGTCTGAGCTAGGCTATAGGAGGGAAAGGATACCACTTCCACTCAGAACCTGGAAGATCAGTCTCACCTGCTCTGGTGGGACACACCATATGCACCCAGCTCCCAAAAGCCAACACAAAGAGAACGGGAAGAGGATTAAGGATAACACCTGGAAGCTAAAAGAGATGGACAGATAGCACACTAGCACCTTCGAGTCCAGTTGACTAACAACTCAAGAAATATACAAATGAAACCAGTAGAAAAAGGAATGGGGGAGGGGAATGAATGGATACCAAACAGCATACATACAATAGAAGCAATTTCTCAGAACATTTTTTAAAAAGTTATTGCATGTGTTTGACATGTGTGTGTGCTGTGGTGGTCAGAGAACAACCTTGTGGAGTCAGTTCTTTCTGTCCATCTTCATGTGGATTCCAGGGATTGAACTTGGGAGGTCAGGCTTGCTTGGCAATTGCCTTCACTGAGCCATCTCACCTGCCTAAACATTTGTTAATTACATATTCAAAGCCTTAAAAATGTGCATGTCCTTATCCCAAGTACTTTTAAATACATAGAGTTCTGTACTGACTTAATACAACCAATAACTTTCACTTGCCTTAAGTTGTTTATTCTGTATTAGCTTTATATAAATACTTTAATATGGTTCACAGCACAGTTTAGTATGGGGGGAAAACCAGGCAGAAATTCAAACAAGATATTGGTTAAATTAATTATGATTTGGACAGGAGATGTAATACCATGTAGTCATTTTTTTAAAGTTCTCTAAAAATATTAATGATATGAAGAAACATTTGTCACATACTGCCAGATTGAAAGTAGACTGTGTATTATGTCTTTGTGATCCTCGTTCTAGAAACAATAATGTGACATGTACACATTAGCACTTGCCATCAGAAGGCATGAGGCAGCCTTTGAGAGAAGTTCATCTGCTGACAGAATTACCCTCTTCTAGCTTCAAGTTTCTTTAGGGAGGCAGAGACATGAAGGAAACCTTCAGTCTCAAACCATACAGTGTGGGCCTTGAGATGGATACTTCAAAAATGAGTAGAAAGGGGGTTACGTGGGAACCTTCAAAATGGCTTTGCAGAAGGGGGAACAGTCTCAAAAAGGCTCTCGGGCGGGGAAAAACCACTGACTTCTTTAGGGGCATAGGCCAGACCAGGTGTAGATTGACACCACATGGTGAAGAAAAGATCCTGGAACCAAAATTCATTTAATTCTGGAGTTGGGATGATGTTGCAGCAGTAGGACCCATGATTCCTTTCATGCTTTATAAGCAGAAGGTATGGCTGGTGATACCAAGGAGGCAAAAGGCTTCACTGAGGAACAGGATGGATGAAGACTATATCCTCTGAGACACCCCATCCCTGATGGCAGTGGCCTTCTTGCAGCCTCGGTATTTGCCCTTCTTTCTTCAGCCTGAAACGCTCTTTCCTATGCATCTCTAGTCTCTCCCTTCTGGCTACGGGTTGGAGAGGTAAAACTCACAGTGGAGTGAGAAGGGCAGGCAGAGACAGGAAATCGAAAGTGTACATGGCTCTGGAGAGGAAGAGACGATGAGCCAGGGTTAATGATTTTAGGGAATCGTAAGGGAGTATGAAATGGGCGGCAGCCACCAGGCCAAGAACCTGCACTCTCTGCATACATGCCTGGTGTGGTGGGGAAGTGGCCGACTGTGGCAGATAATTAACGATCTCAATCCTGTGAGGACATGTGGCCATTTTCAGACCAGCACTTACAGTGCTGAGACCCTAACCTGTGGCGCTGGATGCTGAGGACTGTGGGTGTGCTACAGTTCCCAGCATGCCTTCGCCCTCACTACTTCACCTCACCTCAGGAGGTGAGAGCCTTCTCTGTCCAATGCGATACACAGGCCACATATGAAGTGACTCAGATAGGGAAATAGGGAAGCTAAACGACTTGCCTCAAATCCCCAAATGTAGAGAGGACAAAACTTGGGTGCACTGAGCTGCCCAGCTGCCATTTTCCTAAGCAAAACCATGATACTGTAGTTCTACATTCAAGGTGCCTGAAGTCCTCGCTGAGAGGAAGTTCTGCCTCTGGCACAGTGACCAAAGCCCTTGCCTGAAGAGATGGACAACACAGTAACACATATCAACTACAGAGTGGGAGGAGAGCGGGAGGGGTGTGGAAGGAAGAACCACAGAGGGTGCCACGCTGTGAGGCGGGGAGCTTGTGACCGCCACCCCATGTCTAGGTCAGTGTGGGCCCTCCTAAGTCTCCACTCAAAATAGAATCTGAGCTTGAAGCCTTGGGGACACAGAGTGGCATTTCTCTACAGAGCAGAGCTGGAGGAGGCAGAGGGGCTAACATGCCAGGAAACAGAGGCAGGTGGCCTATTCTCCCCTAAGCCTGCATGGACCACAGCCCAGAAATGCAGGATAAGGCCCTGTGAGGGCGCTTCCTCCAGATCTGTCCCATGGCTTCATTTTGAGTTTGATAACGTACCAGAACTGAGCGGTTAGTGCTCATCAGACCATACTCAGCCGTCAGGAAGAATCCTGGTGATGGGTGGTGGTGTACCTTTGCTGTGCTGGCGCTCACGAGAGTGTTACACACCTGTACGCACACACAAGTGAGCACATAGCCCCCTATGAAGCTCCCTTCTATTCACACAAGAGGTTAACCTCGTAGTAGGCCAAGGTAAGTGACCTCAGGGTTCTGTATTCTTTCTCACGTTTGCTTGTGAATGTACCACCATTTCAAAACAGTTAAGAGAAAAGAAGGTGCTGCCCTATTCCAGTGCTGAGGAAGCAGGCAACCCTTCCAACCTCCCACTGCCATTGATGGCCCTAATTCTACAGCTGCATGAACTTGGGATGTGGGAGCACTCCTGGACAAGAGAGGGGATGGGCAAGAGCCATAGAATTACCATCTGGAAACAGGATAGGGTCTCGTACGTAAGAGATTCCCCAAATGCAGAGACCCTGCAATTCCCCACAATGGGTCTGAAAAGATGCCCTTTTGTTACTGGGGGACTGCCCCATCCTCAGGACTCTACAGGGACCCTGAAAAATCTTACACCAAAGAACTCTTTGGTGGCTGGTCAGTAGTCTAGTGAGAGCATCACCTTCCTAGATACCAGGCGAATGAATGGATCTCAGGCCTTAGGCCCATAAGAAGCACTGGGGAGAACGCACCCTTGGTGACCTGGACCATTCCAGCACCTCTCCCTTCTTCATCCAGAACACCACAGAAACAAGACTACTTATCTCCTAGTCAGCAGAAGGCTCTAGGAACTTCTCCCACCCGACTCTAAGCATCAGCAGCTTCTTCTCCATCCCGCGGGGTCCACGCTGTAGACCCCTCCCAGACCAAAGCTTTTGCAGTGAAGGAGCTGCCAACGCAGAGGAAGAAGCGCCAGATCCTATCAGCCAATTATCCAGACACGGCTACTCGCAAGTTCGGGCACGCTCTGCCTAGGCACAAGCAGCGGGAGGGGCCTGGGCGCGCCCAGGGGGTCTGAGTCTGCGCCCTGGTCGCGCCCCCGTAGCGGATTGTAGTCTGGTCTAGGGGCGGCTCGCCCAAAAGGGAGTTTATCGGTGCCTGCACCCTAAGAACCTGGGAGATCTAAGCCGGGGGAGCGTCTAGGAAAGATGTCTGGGTAGGAAGGGTGCTCAGGGCTGGGTCGAGAAAGACTGGATTTGGGCCAGGGGTATGATCAAGGGGTCTGGGTCTTGAGGTAAAGGAAGGGCGCCTGGGACTCTGGGTCTGGTACCCAGCGCCAAACAGGAGGCTGGGCCAGGCCCCTGATCTGGGAGCCGACCGCCAGTCTGTTCCTTAAGGCCAAATAGGCGGCGCAGCCAGGCCCCCCTCCTGGTTCTGGCCCTTCTAAGACCCCTCCACGACCCGAATCCCAGCAGTCCCCAGCTCCAAGATCGCCCCGGAAACACAGCCCTCCCCTCCAACGTGTGGCGCGCCGGGTCGTCTCTAGTTCGTGGAACAAAAGAGCAGCTCTCGTGGAGCTGGTTCAGAGCCTGTACTGACTGTCCCGTGGCCCTTCGCCGCCGGGCTTTGTGTTCGCATAGGGAGCAGGGAGGATCGCCGGGGTCCCGGAGCACATCCCACGGACCGTGCGCAGAGGCATGCAGCGCCTAAGCTCCAAAGTTGTCGACGCGGGTCGCCTCCCACACCGCTCCAGTTTCTCTCCCCGGGGTGCCCCATTCATTTGCCACGGGAACGAGTGCAGACCGCCACGGTGGGCCTCGGGCACTTACCTTGCTCTTGACTTCCACTGCGCTGCAGTCGTAGAAGCGTAGGGTCTGAGACTTATGAAAACTCCGGTTCATGATTTCGGCCCCACTTAGCCTCGCTTTCGCCCTCGCCGCTCAGGGGCCTCAGAGAGAGTCTCCGCGGAGACGCCCCCCGCCGTCTGCCCGGGCCCGGCGCCGGGCCCGCGCTCGCTAGGGCGCCCTGCTGCACGGCGTGAGGCGGGCCGGAGCGGGGCTGGCCGCGCGCCTCGGTGACTCCAGGGGCCGCGCGCGGGAGGAGCTACGGGACGCCTCCCCCGCGCCCCGCCTCCAGCGCCCCGCCTCCAGCGCCCCGCCTCCAGCGCC